TATACAAACTCAAAGTTTATACAAGGAGAACCTTCACCTTTTTTATCTGTGCCCATATTAGTTTCCCAATATTACAGAGTAAACCACATTCCTGCAAACAAAGTGGATGATTCTACAGGCAGGAAAGTCCTAAGTGTCTTTTTACTTCCCAGGAACAAAAAGTGTAAACAATTCTGAATTCATTGTTTGGTCTTCCTGCATCCTGGGGGCTAGCTGTGGTTCTTGGCTCAATAGGCATGCCTAATTTTGGCCAAACAACATTGAGAACTCACCCAACATAGAAGGCTAATCTTCAAGATTAGTAAAATACAAATAAGAAGGGTTGTTGGTATTGTGCTTATCTGAAAATCAGTTATAAACCCTCAGTATCACAATCTCACAGTCTAAATTCTAAATAAAGAGGAATGCCCAAAGATGCATATGGAGGTATATGGCAGAGTTATCCACACCATAAAAACGAGATGCGTCAAATTAGGATGGATATTTATTCAATCAGCATTTAGGCAAGAGAAATACAGGCTGACTTTCCACCTGTAACATTCTAAGCCAGTACTTCTCTGCAAATATAGGTATGCAGCTGAAAATACCTGAAAGACTCTAGCCTTTCATGACTGATTCCAGGCCAAGGAAATCCAGACCAGAGCTAGTTTATCCAGGCCTGGTCTCTGAAATCCTTAATTTGGTACTTTCACTACTTCTTAAAACAATAGTTAGATACTGTCGTCCGTTTTTGGGCCAAACTTACAGTCGTCCCAGACAAATACTTTCAGAGTCTAACTATGATCCCTAGCAGAAAAACAGTTTAGCTTTGTCTTTAAATGTAACATGAGAAAAAGTGGAGAACTGAAGAGAGGATGCCAAGTTTCAGCTGATGTATCTGCTCAGTTTCTGCCTGTTCCCTGATTGCTCATTTAAAGGGAAAACATGGTGGTGGTGAAAGGCAAAGTGTCACTGAGCTGCAAGCCAAACCAGATATGATTTTATGGCTGTGTGCAGTACACAGATCAAGTCCTTCCTTATTCCCAATGCAAAGGAAAGGCATGGTTTAGAGAAAGAGCTTTATGTTCCTTGTTACTTTTGAAAGATTTCAAAAGCAGCCTTGTTAAAAGAAAAGGCTCAGCTATGAAATTACTTCCTTCTGTTTAAACTATTCTACTCAAGGAAAAAAACAAGAGGGCATGGAAAAAAAAAAAAATCTGTTCTCTGCTTTTGACTTGTTCCTAGGATTCAGCATCCCACCCGCTCTGTGGGATGACACAGTGTGCCAGATCCTGACCGCTCCAGTCAGTGCATCAAGCAGCCAGAGCCCTCCCCATACAATCACCCTCTTGTCAGAGGCAGCTGGCACCCTCCCCGCACACGCTGACAGCATCACTGCCTGGAGGACTGCACCGCTTTGGGGCAGCTCTTCTCCTCTTGGAGCAAGGCAGCAAGGCATGAGGAGGGCCAGCTGTGTTAGGCAGCTAACAAACAAGAAGCTCTTGTGCTATTGCCTCCCCCTCCTTCCCCCAAATCACAGTGAGAATGCAGACAGGGGAAAAGATGCTCTTCTGCTTGCAGCTGCAGCAGCATGGCTTTGCCTGGGAGTACAGCCAGGAGGACAACCCCAGGACACCCGTTTATGGAAGTTTAAAAGTCAAATGAACAATTCACTGCTGCCCAATTCACAATGGGGTTACTTACGGCTGAGCAGCATTTTAACAAAGATTCTAAAATGAGCAATGATTTGCCTCCCTCTGCCAATGCTCACAGGTTTACCCAGAGCCCCAGTTCTGTTTTCCTTTCAATCCCAGGGCACCCTCCCTCTCCTCCAAAATGCAATGTCTTCTCCTGTGTAAAATAGGCTGACACAAACCAGTTCCTGTCCCCACTTGACTGTGGAGAAAGAGAGGAAGGAGAGGCATCTTCAGATAAAACTAATCTCATTCCCAGCTTCACTTCCTGCAAAAAGTTGGTTTCGGCCTCAAACCAATGTATTGACTAATGCATTATTATCCTGATCTGCACCATTAAGAAAGGCAAGGGCTCTTTTCCTCCATGTTTTTGAGGTTCACTGATGCCCAGAAAAAGCCAGATAACATGAGATAAATATTCAGCAAATTACTCCATGCAGACTAACACACTCACCTTTTCTGCCCTACCCAAGCTCCAGTAGATAAATTTGAAGCACTATCTTTTCAAGAAGGCACTCAGGAAGTATGACCCTTGAAATGAAGTCTTCTGCTTAAGAAAACTTTAAGCCAGACTTACAACTAGACTGCAAACAGTGATAGAGCACCACCACACCAGCCTGATCAACATGCTGACCACACTGCTTGAGAGATACCTGCTGATATCTGAGATGTCTGTTGCCCAGAAGTGCTTTGAAGTGATGCTTAGCTTTTCTTTTTTACAATCACAAAACAATCCTCACCTGAAGTGCAAATTCAGCAATATGGGATGGTACTCCCTAGTTGATGGCAACTAATGAAAATTTCTCATGGTGTACATAGCAGTCAGCTAACACCTTGATGCACAAATATTTAACTCCCCCAAAGTCTCTGTGGTTACCCCAAAGCCTAGTTCTTGACTTCAGTCTATTCTTTATTTATTTATTTCTTAAATTAAAAAAATTTACACAACAAACTCACAGGTGTTTCCCAACCATCTTTATCTTGCAACTGTGCCTCCCAGGTGGTAAGGAGGTGAAAGCATTGCTGCTTCTTTACACTACAGGCCTATGACTGACCTCCTCTTGCTTTCTTCTACAAACCACATTGCTTAGGGAAAAAGCCAAACTCAACCAAAACCCAAACCCTTTGGAAAATAATACCAAGGTGGAAGTTGCAAAAATGATGAAGAGTGTCACAACCTATGAGCATTTTTGTTTCCTTTGAACAGATTTAATAAAATAATAAGTTATCATTTTCTGTAAATGGTATTTTATACAGATTAGAAGAGATACTTAAGTACAGTGTGTGCAAAACACTGAATGAAGTGCAGCAGTAACAAGAAATAAGATCCTGTTTGAATTTTGAAGAAAGCTTCAACATGTGCCACTTGCAGTCCTGAAAAATCCCACCTTTATGAGGAATCAGAGGTATTACTAAACTATATCTGCAATTATACTGAATTCACCTTCAATTTAGCTAATGCCCCTTACCCCCTGGAGTTGTTTCACTCTTCTTAGAACAATACCTGAAAAAAATATACTTATTAGAGAAAAAAAAGGGTCACTTTACGTTCTTTGTACACCACTGCTGTAGTGGCCACAGTGAGTGGCCTCTATATCTTCCCTCTGACCTCTTCTCACAGGAGGAGGATCCTTCCTGCTGCATACACATGCCCCTAGTACCTTACATACTTGGGATTAGCTGACATTTGCTATTTTTTCAGTGACTGTTTATTGCTACAACTCCACATTGCATTGGTAGAAGTGCCTACTATTTTCCATCCAATATTTTTAGTAGCTGTTTTTGGAGTATTTGCCTTTTTTTTCTTTTTTTTTTTTTTGTTTATGTCTGAACCAGTTTTTCACCTTGCAGGAAATACTGTATAAACAAGAATGTCTTCAGGAAGGAAAACTGAGAACTGTTTCCTAAAAGAGGACTGCAAAACCCAAATCTTCTTTGTATTCTTAACCTCATCTTGCCTTCTGCCATGAGAATCATCGAGATGGGAAAGGACAGATTTTTGAATCACCAGGAGATCAGGAGAGATTTCACCAACCACTACAGGTTTCACCAACCTTGGAAAACACATATAACAAGGTTTCACCAATCTTGGAAAACTCATATAACTTCTTTCCCTGAAGGGAAGAGCAGGATGTGGAGGAATACATCTTATCAATGGTTTAACGGGTTTGTTAACTGCACAGTTCATATTCTGGTTAAAAAGCAAATCACTAGGTCAGAGTACAACATGTAAATTCTAAAACTAACAAGTGAGTTGACACAGTGACTCACACTGAATCTCTGCCACCATTCTGCAACGTTTGTTATAGAAAGCTCAAGCCACAGCATAAACCTATGGGAACCATAATGTCAAGGAGAAAAATGGGGCTAAGTTTTGGGCTTTGTGGACTCCCTAACAATTGTATTTATGAACTGATGCAACAGGGTACTGGGATAACTGGAGATCCACGTACTGTACTGGAAGACCTAGTAGGTGAGAACACATATTGGGACAAGGAGACAGCCTGCACTATCCTTGCTGCCTTCAGCTCACTATCATCTGCAGGAACAAAGAACATAAACAGCAAAGAAGATCAACAGGGAGCGGTACTCAGCCTCTAGGCTGTGCTTCTGCATAAGGAAACTGGGAGCCCTAGACAAAACCCAAGTAAACTCTTCACAAAATTACAATAACCTCCTGAATCCAAAATGCGTTATGGTATTTCCCTCATGCCAAGCTCTGAAGCCTACGAACCTCCTGAGCAGTGTGCTGAAGCACAGCAATATCTCATATGCTACTTTCCTGTATTAGCAAATGTACCAAACACTATAGAACTGGGTACATGCAGTCCTGCTTAACACACAATCTTTTTGTCAATAGCTTGTAGTTCCTGACTGTTCTCCACATACTGGAATTTCGCATGAATACACACAACACCTTTTGGGTGGCAAAAAGGAGACAACAGATACTTCAGTGGAATACCGAGCCTTCCCTGTACTATTTTAAGTTTTAAGTCATTTGGCATCTTCAAAGGCAAAAGGACAAACATTATATAATAGGTTGCTACAAAGGATTTTAAGCATGCGTTGCTGCAAAAAACCACCACATTACATCTGGATTTTCAGTGGTTTCACGTTACAGGGCTGAGTGACCAAGTCACATCAACTTCCATAAAAAAGCTTGATAGTCCAAGTGGTCACAGTAGTGAACTCTGAGCGTTCTTATTGTCTGCACCTCTTCCAGTGTCTTCCAAATTCTGCTGACCCCCAGGAGCTGGCTATGCATTACTGAAGTCACCTTATAAGAAACAGAGCAGGGAGAACAAGGTGGGAAAAGTAAGCACTTACCAAGCACAATGACCACAGTCTTCAGGAGGCTCATCATGGTGTCCCGATTCCTGCGGGGTCCAGAACTGTGTCTGGACATTCTCATAGTCCTTTGGCGAACGTACCCAAAGATGTGAGCATATAGGACCACCATGACCACAAAAGTGACCAGGTTGAAAATAGCCCAGAAGACCAGGTAGGAGTCACTATAGAGCGGTGCCATGTTGGAGCAGTGGGTGATATCACAAATACAGTTCCATCCGACACTCGGTATGGCACCCATGACGATGGCCATAGTCCAGATAACAACAATGACAACGACCACTCGGCGGTTGCTCATCCGAGTGTGCAGCTGCATTCGGAAAACCGTAATGTGCCGCTCAATAGCGATGGCCAATAAATTGGCTACAGAGGCTGTCAGACTGGTATCAATGAGACCCTGACGGAGAAGCCAGGTGCTTACAGTAAGTCTTCTAGTGTTGGGTCCTGTATTGAACATTAAGTAAAAGTAGGCCAGCCCTGCAAAAAAGTCCGCAGCAGCTAAGTTGGCCATTAAGTAATAAATAGGAAAGTGGAATCGGCGATTGACATAAATAGCTACCATAACCAAGAGGTTGGCCAGCATTATGAAGATGCAGACGGTAATCCCCAGTCCCATTACAAGCTTGCTGACAGTGTTCCATTCAGTGGCTAGATATTTTCCACTTCGGTTATAAAAGAAGGCAATGGTTTCGTTGTAGTAGCACTGTGGTTCACTCATGGCTGTGGACTGAAAGAAGAGAGAAAGAGAGAGAAAAAAAAACCCAGAATGACATCAGAACTGAAAACATATGATTGCCTTCATGGCTAAGACATACACACAGAGTGGGGAGGGGGACAGGAAAGGAACATGCTTCAGAACAAATTTATTGTTTCAGACCAAATGGCATTCCACAACTCACAAAAAATTGCTCTGAGGAATCTAGTAACAGCAACCAGATTAGAAACAACCAGAAATGGTTCAATCTGCTCTGAGAGACAGTATGATTTCTGATGTAGCTGTAAGTTGCATAGAAAACGAGCTTCTGGCCAAGCAGATCTGCTGAGAGATTCTGCTAAAGGCATGCAGCTCAGAATTAAGAAAAATTAACTCTGCTAGACACCTTATTTATGTTATCAGTACACAGAACTGTTGTTTGACTGTAGCGAAAGAATAGTCCTTCAAAGAGGAGGAAATGTGCATTACATTTCCAAGCAAGTTTTAACTCATTCCATTCTCCATCGTGGGTATTCCTTCTTGTCCTGTCTTAAAACATGGGAAGAACACCCTAATTAACAATTGTCAGTATATTTTGAGGGATAACGTATGTCCATAAAAAAGTGCTTTTATGTGCAATAAAGGAAGTATGACATAGCATTTCTATGAGCACCACCCACATTTCTAGAAATGGTTTAAAATACACAATGCTTTTAACTATAACTCACCAGAACTGACTTATTCCAATTTGAAATAGGAGTGAGCCAAGAAATAAGAAAAGTAATGTTTGGCTTAACTATTATTAAAAGCATCCAACTTATTTCCTGCATTAACTATTGTTGTGGCTACATCAGAGAACACATGATTATTTTTTGTTTGCAGAGTACTCCACTGAGAACAGTTAGGGGGGCCACAAACCAGCCCATATTCCACTAGAATGTGGAAATTCTGGATAAAACTGTTGGCTTATAAGAAAATGCCTAATGAGTTTCCTTTTCCAGTTCCATTCGGTTACTCAAGGTGCCATTCCGAAAGGCAAGCCTTAAGAAAAGAAACTCCTCTGAATAACATCCTGGTTCCTTGTTTAGCATGGGTAAACAACAAAGATGTAAAAATAATAATTAAAAAAAAAAAATCAAACCAAGAAACACATGTCAATGAAGTCTCTTTCTATAAGATCTGCCTTTGCCTCTCTGCTTTTATTGCTTTGGAACTCTTATTGACTAAATTTGAATTTTTACAAAAACAGGACCAGTTCTAGCAATGGAGGTAAGAAGCCCAATGAAGGAACAGTTCAACAACACTTAAAGACGGTAATTTCTTCCCCTTAAAACATACAAAGTTAACCATAGGTTTTGGACAGCTCCAGTTACTCTGCAGGAAGCGCTACGGCTAACCTAACCTTCTTGTTGAAAACAAAAACGTACAGAACTGGAAAACAAAATTTGTAACTTGACTCAAGTGAAAATAGTGTCTGATAAAGATCTCCTTAGAATTACCCAAAGCTGTTGCTGTTTCTTTTAATTTCTACATTTGTCAATGCAATTAAGCCAATTCCAATAAAGCAACATACAAAACTGTCCCCCTATATCCCAAACGGACTACATGACGTTTAAAATTATGTTAAAGAAAAAGGTATTTTAAGAAAGATTTTACCTCCAGCCTAAACATTGACCAGAAACATTTGCAGTCCCAGGATAATAAAAAGTTAAATAGTGTTTCTCAGCACAGTGATTATAATACTTTTATTGCTTCTCTAGGACATATCAGCCCTTGGGTTTGAAGCCTTTTAGCCTTAATTATTTAAGAAATTTTGGAAGTTCTCATGTAGGATCTGTTGCATATAAAAAATATTTATAAGGAACGATTAACAAAAGGAGACCTAGGTACAAGACATCTGGCTTTAATTCTTTGGTTAAAGACCTTGTAGTAATAACAGGTCAAGTATAAGAACCCTTGAGGGAGAGAGGAAGTCATATGAATGAATTAGTGGCCCTTATAACAGTTTGCCAACATCTACATTAATTATTTAATGCACAGGATTTTTAGTCTCTGTAGGAATATCTGGATGCAGGATCTAACAGATATTTGTGATCTTTAATAAATTCTCTTTCCCTGTGTATTTGTTACTCCTTTTTTCTTTCAGATGTCTGCTGCCCACATGTAGTGATTCCCACTCTGCTGTTACTCCTATGGAAAGAGGCCTTTTACCCCTGGAAAAAAACATATATTTTTTTATTCAGAAATTTAAAATGTGGCCAGTATTATGCTTTTACTTTCTTTTTTCTTCTTTTTTTCTTGGTATTTTTGTTTTGCACATGGGCTTAAAATGTGAATTATTCCCTGATTGTGCAATATTCTCTCCTACCTTTTTGTTTGAATCTGAAACAAAATATGACAAAAAATATGACTTAATCATTAAATGCCAAGCCAAGGTGGAATGTATGTACACACATAACAGTATGTAAAACGCTACAGAACCAGACTTGTTCAAATTAAAAGTATGACAGCACTTGAGCAATCTCAGAGAAGTTAGCATGAAGCTCACTTGCTGCTTCTCTCATTTTGAAGACAGACAAACAAAATGTTGTATTCATGTAAGGGATTTTGGAGAAGTTTTGTTTTTAAGGCATTCTAATCTAAAACCTGGGACCTCCTGCAAAAGTAATCTTTTCATGCCCTGCAACCCCCCCCTCCCTCCCCGCCCCCACCAAGGGAAAGAAGAGAAGAAGATGAGAGAATTTGCTGGCAAAAGTTCCAGCAGGGGACTTCCAGATGATCAGCTTTCTTGAATGCCATGGTATATCTTAAAAGAAGGTTCTGACCTCCCAGGTCACAAACATAAAAATCCTAAGGCATCACATTTAGCTGTGATGCTGACTGGGAAGGATCAAGCAGGAGAGAAATGCACTTTATCTCTCAGTACTCAAAGTGTTAACATACCACAAAGGCATATGCAAGCAGGCAGACCCCATCCCCTCTCCTGCCTCTGCAGGAAAAGGGGCAGGGAAGTTTATATTTTAATTTCCTGAAGTTTTACTCAGTGTGTTTCACTGCCTGTGTAAGCCAGATGGGTGGTGCCCAGAGATTTACCTTATCCATTCAGTATATCTCAACAGAAGTTTAAAACAAACTGAGCTGCAAATTGCCCATGTTAACTAAACCTCTAGGATGCATCCGTGTGGAAGAAGTAAACACTGAGTTACAAAACAGGACAGATAAAGGAAAATGCAGTAAAAGTAGGGTAAAAGCAAAGTCTTCTCTCACAGTATAAAGATGACCCAAGACACATTTGTCTCAAATCAAAAAGAAAATCACAAGTACATGGACTTGTGATTATTCAATCTCTTAATACCATGAGACATAGTTATAACTACAGCACAGTGCACATAGACCAGGAAATTTGGCACCAGGACTTAATAAATAAAACTTGCTCTTCTTCAGCAATTAATCATTCAATTCACCTTGGCACTGGCCTTTTCAGGCACTATTTGCCTGGTTGTCTCCTCTCCTCTGGTTGTATGGGATCACAGCACAAGGGTGCCATTGGAAAACAGGGAAGAAGAGCTCATGTAAGATTTCATGTGTTTTGTGCCTGATTCATCTTGCTTCTGCACCACCTGTGCATCACACCCTAAAGAACAGGATGAGGATTTGGATCCACAGCATCTTGACCACTGGATGTCCTTGGGAGAGCAGCCTATTACTGTCTGTCCCTCCTGGGGCAGAGACAGCAGTGAAGAATACAGTCTGCCTGGAGCAGAAGGCAAAAGGGGATCTCTGGATCCTGCCAGATCTGTGGTGAGTGACAGCTCACCTGGTGAGAACTGCTCACCTGGTAAGGACTGTGTATGGAGCCATGCTTGGGGTGCAAAACAAACATCAAAAAGTTTTCAAATACCATTGCCTGATCCTGCCTAAACAAAGCATTAATTAGCACGAAGTGCCTGAGGGGAAGGACACCTCTGCAGTCTCAGGCTTTGGTGAGTTCCTTGATCCAGAATGCAAAAAAAAGGCAGGTCACTGTCTCCCCACTCCCAGTACCCATGGGTGTACCTATTTCTTGTTGAGAGCATCTGAGAGGAACATTCTTTGAATACTAAGGCTGACTTTTACAGCACTTTTCAAACTTACATGCTACAAAAAAAAAAAAAAAATTAAAAAAAAAAAAATCCATATCCAGGAAATCTCTTAAAAATATCTTGACCCTAAACTCTCCAAACACACTCTGCTCCTCTCTTTTTTGTCTTTTGCTGAATTAACTTCCACATGCCACTGTTTTCTTACCCAGAGGAGATGAAAAGCAATTAATTTTTCTAATATTGGTGTGGTAAACTAAGACTAAAAAACCATAATAACTGTTTCGTATTTTTACATTTAGAGCAGCAGTAAATGGAAATCAGTGCCGCTGCTTTTACCTTACGTAAATATCTTAAGTTTACCAGCACACCAGAAAGAGTCAAGCTGAAAGACTTCAAGTTCAAAATCCCCAAAGAAGGATATAAATTAAGAATATCTTTAAAATAAGGATAAGCAAGTAAGTATAGGCATAATTGAATCAATATGTAAATACTTCATCAACGCACAACTACTAAACATGGGGTTTACGAAAATAAAGTTGTAACAGATGAGGAAAAAAAATCCAATTAGCAAAAACAGTTTTCCATGACCTAATGAAAAACACAGACTACTTTTCAAACTGCAGAACATGAAAGAAAAGCTTTAAAATAAAGCCGAAAATATGTGTTTCCTTCAAAGATAAAAGCAGAAGTAAAAAAAAAAAATCATTAAGTCACAAGACAAGGGTCCTGATTCATTATAGCCTTATGCACAGACATACTTTTCATCTGCACAGTAGAAGTAGGAATCCCTACCACCAGCATAGAATGGCTCCTCCTCTTCAGAATTGCATCTCTCTAAGTAACCATTCAACAGACTTAAAGATAAAGCTGTATAATAAGATGGAGTGGTTCTGTCACAGCAGGTTACTTCATTTCACTAGATTCATTTTGGTCTTCACAAAGCTGACAAGA